GAACTTTTTGTTTGTCACATACAAAATCCAAAGAACCTTTTTAATTGGATGCTCAAACAAGATGTAGATGAGATGCATATTTGGGCTTCAAAACAAAATTTGCAGCTTGATATTTTAAGATGTAACTAAATATTATTTTTAAAAATCATATAAAGAATGTTTTTTTGGTAATTAAGATGGAACTTAAGCTAAATAAGAAGGTTTATAGGCCAGTGTATGGATAGAATTTAATTCTGTGTTGACTTTTCTCTTCAGCATTTGGATAGATAGGTTCTTTTCCCTCTTCCTGACCAACCCCCTTTCCTCCTCTCCTCCTCCTTCTTCTCTCTTCTGTCTCTCTCCTCATTTCTCCTCTCTCCTTCTTTCCATCTCCTCTAACAAACCCATAGCAGAGTCCCTCTGTTCTTCCACCCTGAGGCTGACCAGTGTGTCAGAGCTAACCAGGGAGAGGAACAGAGAGAGAAAGACAGAGATAGCAGGAGAGAGGCAAGCAGAGTGAAAGGAAGAGAGAGAGAGAGTTTTCAGTCGGGCCTTTTTCAGGGGCAACCAAAAAAAGGAAGATGAGACAGATGTACAGAGTCCTTTTCATCTAGTGGAAAAAGAAAGCGGGAGAGGCCAGACTTTTCATGCCTCTCACATTTTTCTATCTTTTTATATCGTGACCCATCACTCTTTCCTTCTTTAGACAGCACTGGAGACATAATGTTGCCTGAATGTCAGGCTGCCCTCCTTCCTCGCTCTACCCCAGTCACTCTGCAGAATTTCAAAAAGTAGTTTGTACTACAGTATATCCCTCACACTGGTTTCTTTTCACTCCCGTCAGTGTCCTACTAACCTTGGCGTCACAAGTATGCCAGTTCTGCCTTTACTTTAGCAACATTGTTACAGAGTTGCTGTATGGGAGATACATGCAAAAGTTACAAATACAAATCTGTGACCTTTGTGGCGAGACTGACCTCTTAAAACTCAGTGGGACTGGTCCAATCCTGACTCTTGGATATGCTTTTTCAGTCCTTTTCTTACTCTTAGTCCCCACTTGGGCAAGAAAGTCGAGAGGTCACAGGAAGTTCATCAGTTGAGAAAATACAAGTTTCAGTTTACTGCTGAAAGAAGGATGGTTCACGCACACGTTTACCTGAACATGATGCAAACATACCAATTTGGTCATTGCAACACTGTAGTAATTTTCATCTTTCTTTCTTTGGACTTTGTCCCTCGTCAGTTACAATAGATGGAAATGATTGCTCTCGTTGATGTAGGAGTTTGTCTTTAGAAGACCCATCTGCTTGTCCTATTGTCCTTTTTTTCCAAAGCAGTTTTCCAATGATCAAAACAGGTTTGGCATTACATGACTGAAAGGTTATTTATAGGAAGCGACTGAACTTTATTTGCACTGTGTGAAATTCAAGAAGAAGAGAAATAAACTGAGTGAAAAATGCATTTTATCTCCTCTCCAATCATTAGTAAATCTGCAGTGAGCAGTATAACAGTATAGTACCTTGCACTGTGGGTTTGATAGCAGACAGCTTAATTTCTTATATTGTATGAATTTTGAGGGCGTTGCACTGTGCATAATTTTCACTCTCTAAGGCTTTGAAAATGGCTAAAAGTAAGTACAGAGAGCAAATGTGGAGGGATTTCTGAGGTTTACATGTTGAGCAGTGACAACAGCAGAAACCTTTAACCTTTCAGCCATGACACAGGAAGTTTGTGTATCCCTGCAATGTTGTTGTGTCCTAAAGTCACAAAAAACAAAGTGCACTCTTTCAAGCGTTAAACTATAGAAAAGCCTCTGAATCATCAACACACCAGAGATTTTCCAGCAGTAATGATCCATTTGCTAGATCTAGTGCAGGCCTACACTTCAGATTATGTGTAGGAACACAGCTGAGGTGTTTTTGTGAAGATGTGATTGTGTGAAGTAACTTAGTGAATCTATTGAGTGTGCTTACTATTGTCACCGGTAGCCGTGTGATCCATCATCCACGATGGGTTTCACAGGTGACCTTTTGTGGGAGAGGGGTCCTTTGTTTGGACTCTGTGTCTCTTTGTCCAAATAAAGCAGTGTTTTTTCTGCCCACATCTCTCTATCAGTAAACCAGAATCTTTAGTAAACAAAGTGCATTCTCTTTTTCAGCTCGGTGAGATCTGTGTTAGTGTGCCGATATTGATTCAGTCAATATCTATGGGCTCCATGTCTTACTTTGTGTGCTGCGTCGTACAGTGTGTGTGCGACGGCTACCTGAATGCCTGCGTATTTGTGCCATATCTGCTTGAGACTGTGTTTACTGTGCATGCACAATCCCTTACAATCTGTGAGTGTCTGTATCTGACAGTCTGTGCATGCATGTGTGTGTTCGAGTGTGTGCGTATGAGGAGCAGTATTCCCTGGGCTGCTAGTTATAATGTTTCTGGGGGTGATGGGGGGAACTTGAAAGCCCTGTGCTGCCCAAATCAAAACTAACAAGGAAATGATGGGGGCTCCTTTATCTCCTCTCTGGCCTGGGGGGCTGAGGGGGGGCGAGAACGGGAGACTGGGCAGGGAGGGAAAGAAGAAGAGGTGGGAGGGAGGGAGAGAGAGAGAAAGGGAGAGAGTGAGGGGAGGAGGAGGAGGAGGAGGGGGGGTAGCCTGGCTTCCTCTTTGATTTGTAAAAAATGCATTACCTCCGAAATCAAACGGAAAATTACTGCGCCGAAGCAAAACACACAGAGCAGGAGAGAGGGAGAAGGGTGGAGTGGAAGGGAGGGCGGGGGAGAAGACAGTGGATAGGTGTGTGAATAGAAAGGAGGTGGGAAAGAGGAAAGGAGGAGTCACCTGTATAGATATGCTGTTGGATATGAAAAGGGAAGGAAGAGTATAGATTTGAGGTAATGCGTAGGTGGTATGAGAGGAAGTTGGAAAGACTGTGAAAGACAGGAGCTCACATATATGTTTCCCGTAGAGGAGATGAGCTTATACATGCCGTGGACCATGAGAATACGGCAAATGAAAGAGATGATGCAGTATTGATGACCTGTAGCCCACGGGGAAGAGGAAAGTTATGGATTGCTACCTCCAACACAACGTATATCTCATTTTGTAAAGACCAATCTTCGCAACGGCCTTCCTGTCAGATGAGGTCAACATTTTCATGGAAAGATGACAGTTTCAAATGTTTTCCAAAATCCCCAAACATGTGAACAGCGGGGTGTATTTTGATATCCTACTGGTAAACGGTCTAATCAAAATATTTGATCCTTTTCTAAAAATGAGTTGCACGGGATGAGTGCAGACAGAGTCTCCAGATAGTTTAATGACCAAAAAAAAGAGAGAGAAAAGGAACAATAAGAGTAAAAATAATAATGATTATTATAATAAATAGAATTAATGTCAGCTCTGCACTCATAGACAGAGAGAGCAGACTGAAAACAAGGAAGATGAAGAGCGGGAGGGGAGGGGAGAGAGAAGACAGCGAGCGGGGCCACAATCCAAAGGCTTGAAGCGGGGTGAGAGCGAACGTGAGACAGAAAGAGTCAGAGAGTGAGAGAGTGAGAAATGCCTGGAGTTAGCAATAATAATTTATACAAACACACCTTAATAATTCACGTTTCATTTCAATGCTGGAGGGAAAATCCAAAATTCACAGAGCATAATTAAATAGAGGCAGAGAGTGAAGGGAGAGATAGAGAGGCCAGCATTAAAGATACCAGTGTAGCAGCAGGCTATCTCTTCCATCTGAGCTTTGTAAAACAACCCTGATGAAACTGTGATATCCAAACTAGATTCCATCTCAGAGTTCCCCTCTTCATCACAGAAACACCAAGATCTCCTCATCTTCTCGCATTAGCAGATGTCTATATGAATATATTTAGGAGGCCTTATGATCATAAGCTCTTGTATTCTAAAAAGGCCTACCCTACCTCACTGACACGTGCACGTATCATTCAACATTCAATGCAGAGCATGAAGCGATGTGATGGGGTGAAAAAATAAAAGTTTGGGGGTGTTTTTGTAAATCTTCAGATTTCAAAATGCACAGAAGTAAAAACAAAATCAGGTTTTTAAATAGTTTGGACAGTTTATTTTCTTGTGATGTTAAACATGGACTTGTTCACTGGACTCACTGCATCATTTCTGACTTTTATTCCAACAATTTTGTGTGTTTTAAAAAAAATGTGTAGTTTTATATAACCACATACTATAATTATAGGGGGTATAATATAATTTAATATTACAAGTACAGATGTGAAGTGTTTTCTCGCTTTTGCTTGTTCACACTCAGCTATACAGTGACTACTAAACAGTACATCCGACAATTAAAATAGTTCTAACTCAATCAACTAATAAAACGACACTCTTGTATGTTCAAATCTTTGTGCAATTTGGCACTATTTGTAGTACTTACCTGACTTACCTAGGATACCTAAGGTGATATGAAAGACATTTTACCAAAAACTATAGCCCTTTAAATCCTTTTGAAACTTTCCTCATCTGGCAGACAATTAAACCTAACCTTTAATAGCCCCGAACATAACTTTGTACATGAGATTTTTTTGATACTTTTAAAACTTCACTAAGAAATAACCAAGTCCTATTATATATTTAAAAACCCAATTTTTAATGTATAATGTGGCTCAGTTTTCAAGTTGGTTTTCAAAAGTCTATTTAATTCCTCCTGTTCATAAATGCACTATAGGGATGTCCACCACGTTGCATCAGACACAGCCTCAGGTGGCCACATCCATCAAACACCTGATCTCTACCAAAGACATATGAAACATAACCTTGCTATATTTCACATCGATTTAAAGTATCATTTTGAACTCATGTTGCGCCTTTAGACCCTTATGCAATACCTTCAGTTTCAACAAAATGTACTCTCTTCTACTCTGACTTGGTGTAATAAATGCAATAAACATGCTGGGTAGTTGAAACTGGCCTAAGCAAATACATCTCTGCAAAATTCTCTGTTTTTCATTTGTAAAAGTTAATGCCTTCTCTCTCTTTTGTTTTGTTCCAGGTTTTGTGGAGGCATGGACTGTAACTGCGTCAGTGATCTGCTGCTCCCCCCGGTGCCCGCCCTCTGGACGCCAGGTCGGTACTGTCATCAAAGTTAGTGACATGAAGGCAGGAGACTATTACATCCTTGCTTTTCTGCATCAAATCTCCTTAAAGTTCTTATTTGTAACATTTAAAATCTTTCAACTTATCTTTAAATCTAGTCCTAAGCCACATGTGTAAATTGGGTGAACCCAGACAGCCAAAACAAGCAAATACTTAAGAAGCAGCTACTTCATTATTAAAATTGCATGTTGAAATTCATCCCCAATATTCATCTATTTAAAAAGATTAACCATACACATTCATGTTTGCCAAACAAGTTCAGACTCTGGTAGTAATTGGTTCAATGTGTAATGTATTTACAAGGCTAGTTAGTGCCAGATTCACTTTGGCCTGAGTCAAAAAGCTACTTAACTTCATCTCTGATGGTCATAGAGTTGGCTTTTAAAATTCAGACCTGAGCAGCATCAGTCAGATCTCTCCCAGTGAGCTGTCATCATCCCACTGACCAATCTGTTGAGGCTAGAGGGCATTAGCTCAGACTAACATTGCTCAAGGCACGTGCTGTGATATTAAACACATCATCCCTCACCTCCATCACTCATCAGTCATTCAGACAGTGAACTCCC